TTTTAAAAGAAGGAAGGTAGATCGAATGAAGGGAAATGCGCCAATGGTCATACATGTCGTGACAGTGGAACACAGTGGTTGGTGACTGCTTTCTTTTTGTTGTAACATTCATTTATTTGCTCGACGGTGGCCGTAATGATGAAAGTGTTAGCTCGATGCCTCGTACGCAGTTGTAGCGACTCTCTCTTATGGGGTACGATAGTTGGATCTCTCTTCGGCACCTTTTTGGTGATATTGGGCGTTGGATTATTGGCCTAATTCCGTTGTCTCCTGCGTCGTCGCAAGCAATCACCATCGGTAGTTGACGAGGTACACGGTGTTCTGTTGCCACTGCCGTCATTAACACCGAATTTAGCTACCGCAGGGGTCTACACGCCTGCCCTAGATTTGCGTGTACCCACCTACCCGGCGTCCGTACCAAAGCTTTGAGTGTCGTCTCCAGTATTCAGTGTAGTCACTTCCATTTTTTGCAACAATTATCAAGTTAGAATCGAACATGGTACATTCTGTAAGCCTGTAGCACTGCCTAAGCATCTGTGAACGTAATCTTTTATTGCTCTGATTTGATGAAATGCATTACTTGTTTAGGTATTCAGTTTTAAATCCATATTGTATTTGGTTGTCATGCTTTCCATAAGTTTATCAAATTTTCTGTCGACGGACAATCATTTTTCGCAGACAAGTAGATTTAAACACTAAAAGCTTTGCATGGTTTTGTTGGTAATTCCTATCATCTGTCTTGTAAGTGTTTGATCCAAATTAATAAGTAGAATTTGGTTTCAAGAAAGTTCTTGCACTTCCATAACACGAGAACCCGCTTTCTTGTAGAATCAGTTGCACGCTAAATGCATTTTGTAGGTACTGCCACCTTTTACCAAACCAACCTCTTCCAGCAGCTAAAGGATTGTCGTGATGTATTGTGGCTGTATAAAAATGATACTGGTAGCTTTGTTGAAGCACTTTAATTTCATCGCTTTTGCAGGTGTGGGCACAGCTTCACCTAACGTGGCGTCGAACTACAAGGAGGCAGAGACCAGTGCTGCCTACTTCATTGGCCAGCTAGTGGACATTGCGGCGTTAGACAGCGACCTTCTGTGCAATGAGTACTTGGCACACGGCACAGGTCAGATCTAACAGCCTTACCTCGTCTGGATCGACCTATGATTCACTTCCTAGCGATTGCAATGAACGTAAACAAGATATTATTTCTCAATGTTAGCATACTAAATACCACCAACAATAAATTTGCCACAGTCATTCAATGTTGTCTTCATAATTAGTGGTAGGGAATTCCACCTTGCTCAAGGCTGTTTTACGAGCAAATTCTCACGTGCCTATATGCCGGTGCCAATTATTCCCTGGACCTGTAAAACGACAAGAGCAGTAGTTAAGTGCGTCAATGTAATGACAAGTACAGTTGTCTAATCTACTGGGCAGCAGAGGAACTTCTCGTGCTTCCCATCTGTTGGAACTGGTAGGAACTTGTAGAGCACAGTGGCCGCATTTCGGGTTTACTCACTGCGCAAAGTGAGGCCAACTGCCACAATTTCTGCACCACAGTATTCCACAATAATGCCTTGACAATTTGACTTGAGCCGATGGTTGGCTTTTGAATGCCCAGTAGTAAATATTCTGCAGTTAGGCAAAGGTAAGAAAATAGACACATAAGCAATTACTCATCACGTTGCAATGTGTGGGCATAACGGACTCGTTCTTGCATCAGCAACAAATTGTTTGCACTCAAAATAAAACGTGTTTTTAAGTAATAACGGAAATTCTCATTAGAATGGGGAGGAATTAATGGCACAGACTTAATTTAGAAAATTTATTTTTAAGCTTAAACTTACACGCCCTAGACTGGTTGCAAATTTAAAGCGACTTCTATCAGTAATCTGGAATAGTTTTGCCTATAAATTGTTGGAGGTAAATATTTTAATGTGTATAATTGAGCATGAAAACAGGAGTGTTAAGAGAACTATCACTTCGCTCTAAAAAGCAATAGAGCTTACCCTTATTTATATTTTATGTAATGTCTTTTTTGTGTGCTGACAGCGCATAAAAAGGGAGTGATTAAGATTGGCAGATGTAGTGCAGACTATTTTAAATGCGCGGTATTTGGAATAGTATATGTAGGTCAACGCAAAAAAATCAAAACAAACTGATGAAGCAAGGCTGATTAATTACTTGCCTATCTCTGTTTTCGATATTCTTGCTACTAGATATTTACTTCGTAGCATGCTAAATGACGTTGTCACACGTTTAATGAGGCGAAGTCTAAATCATCGGGGTCATTATCTTCTAATTGATAACTTCAATATGAATAGGGCAAAATCAGACATTAAAATAAATACGACAAAATTAAAAAACTACTTATATATTTTGGTGCACCTACTTTATTAAACAAACGCTAGTTGGAAGCATTTATAAAATGACAATATGAATTTTGCCGTAGCTAAGGAAATGAGGATCTGCAGATGTCTCTATGTGTTTCTGCATTATTCAGGTGACGATGCTTGCAGCATACTTTCCTTAAAGTACAGGGTTGCTGCAAACCACACTTTCACACAACGCCATGTTTTTGCGACTGTGTGCAAATGGATTGGCCTGGGTTCTATCGAGGTTCCAAACAGGGTATTGAGGAAATGAATATCAGAAAGCGAGGTCTTTGATGCTGGTGCACCCCACCTCACTTAATTCTATTCTCTTACCTTATGCTACATTGGTAAATAAAATACCATTCTAATCGTGGCCATAATAACATGGTGGGAAGCTCACACGGAAATTTATCCTGTGTTACAAATAAATCACCTTTTACACCAATTCCCTCTATACCTCTGTTACTAAGCAGTTAACCGCTCATTTAAAAAGACGTCAATTTATGCGCTCAAATACACTTTACGCCTACAGCTACAACTGCTTGTACAATCAGTTTTACATGTGGCGCTATACCTGTTCTAGGACATCACCGTTTATTGGTCGACTAGCTAATCATTAAAGTCGTTTATCAATGAAGCAATAAGTCAACTGCATGTCCAAATCACACTTTGAAAAATGTTTGAATCGCTCCTGAGTTGCTCGCAATATGCACAAAATTCGCCACTCCAATTTTAACACCACCGCCAACTCTTCCCAATTCTTTATTTCTCTTCTTGTCTACTATCAATACTGCATACGGCAGCCCTATTGTCCAGCTCTTGGTTCTTTCACACTCACTCAGTACATGTGGAGCTTGAGGTCTGTTTCCCTCTGGATGCCTTTACACATGAATGTAAACGTCTTCTCGTCTTACCAAAGCTATCTGCATAATTGCTTTTGCTGTCATCGAGAAAATCACAGCCGGTACTGACTTAGTGATCCTATTCCTT